TATGACGGACATGCAAAGATAAAAAATTGCGAAGAAATATTAAATAACAAAGAATATTACACACAATTAGTATCACATGACAATTTACAAATGTGTTTATTAAATTCGGATGAGAACTCCGAACTTAAAGGTATTAACAACGGCGCGCGTAGTTTGTTAGATAAATTTTAAAAAGAAGCTAGATTTAATATTTTTTTCACAATTTTTTCACTCTCTTAAACCTCCTTGCACATAACAACATGTCACAAAACGATCCTCTTCAAATCAAGCCCGGATCTTATGCAGCAGTGGTCAAATATGGTCAACGTCAATCAAAAAAGACCCAAGAGAACAACGAGTCTTTTTCAACCCATTGACGAGCAAAAGCGCCCAGAAGTTCGCTTCGCAGAAACATTAGATATCCAAAAATATATTGATCACTCCTACTTTGGGAACATATTGCCTCATAATAAAGAGGCAAAACAAATGTTGAAATTGGCAAATATGAGACTCAGGTGGCCTTCGGTTACGAATGTGAATGAGGTAGATGAGCTTATCCAAACGATTGACAAATCAACCACTAGTAATAATACGGCATCCGAAGAACCTCAAGAATATGTAGTAGGAACTGTAATTCGGATGGTCACGAGATTATTAGCATATTCATTACAATATCGGAAATGCATTTCTACTGTACCCACAGAGCGTCTTACCGCAGCTCTTTCCGCCATCTCAGATTACAGAAGTGCCATGATAGATCTTTCAAATCCTTTTACAACGTTACAATGGAACGTCCTAGTTACTGATTTCTTAGGGAAAGCTCAAGATTTGTTGAGACTACCGTTTAACCCGTATGTACTCACGCAGGTTTGGTTTTATTTTATCAGTGATTTAACGTTCTTTTCAACAACAACAGATATAGTGATCCCACAGGCGATGTACAATCGTACGTATTACATATGTCATATCGATACGTAATTCCTGCTTAGAATTTTAAAATTTCTCTTTATCTTGTAGAATGGTTTCCGGAATTTCACCATTTGCGGTCACTGTCGGACAAATAATTCCTTTGGATTTTAATGTTACTTTCCTTGAAAACCTTTATCGTCAAGCGGCTGGTCAGAATAAATCATTCGAAAAATGCGCGCATATTGCATCATTCCTGTGGAAATTCGGTTTTAAGGAATATGTGACCCATAAGATTCCTATGAAGCGGGTTATCAACGGTGCATACATCTGCTATGTAGATCCTCTGAATAAGACGTATTATTATACCACCTTAGTTCTTGACCCATTTCGCTTTAAGGTGTTAAAGAATCTCCTTATTTATGAAATAGTCTCCGGAAAAGCAGCCTACATCCACAGTGCATTGTATTTTTACATGAGTATGTGCACATGTGAAGAGGATTTCAATTTAATGAATGAATACGGTGTTATTGAGTGGGACTTTCCGATGGAAGGATATGCCGAGTTTTGCGAAAAGATGAAAGAATTATTGGATATAATGTATTGTTGGAAGTTTTCGAATACTTACACATGGCACCTAGAAATGATCCAGATTGCAAATTGGAAAGCTAAGACTAACAATACATCTAGTTTCAGTGATTTCGCAACAACTTGCTACTCTGCAGGAGCATTAAAGAAAGAAGTGTCTGGATGTTTATACAGTAGCCTTAGCTGAGATGAATTTCTTTCGATATTATTTGGAAATTCCACATATTTAAATACCAGCGTGTCAACTTTAACCCGATTTCGCAGATATTATTTCGAGTAATGGGTCTTACAAATTTCAATGTTTATACGCATTAATTATACGTGTTTCTATTTATTGGGAAACTTTCATGCAGTACAAAAGGTTTATATACATCTTCTCTCTTTCTCACATTTTTTTTTTTTTTTTTGAAATTCCATAATCGACGGTTTATCAAGAAGTGTTTTCATTAATAAATTTTACAGATTACGTTAATCACAGTATATAAAAATATAAATGATTGAAAGTTTGTTCAATAATGACTGAAAAAAAAAATGAATGAATGAATGAGTATGAATACTGTATAATGCGACGACTTCACTCAAAAAAAAAATCTCTCCAAGAGTATTGCACAGGTACAGTGAATTTTGACCCTCTAAAATACGTGGCATGTGCCGAAATCGCCAACATTAGAGGATTTTTTATGAAATGCACTACGTGACTTTGGCAAATCTGATTACGCGTACTCTTCTGGAAAATCCATCGGCTTGATAAAAAAAGGGATTTCTGACAGATTCATAATTAAAAGAAACGCAATAATCGAGCCGCTATATATGTGCGCAATTATTGTCCGTTAGAGATTTATTTGAGTTATTAACATTGTTGTCCAAAGATATTTATGCTAAGCTTGCAATTACTTATATACTACAGTATATTGAAAAAAGTATCGAAATGAATTGTGTGCAATCAACCTCGGTAAAAAAAAAAAAAAAAAAAAAAAAAAAAAAAAAGATATGATATTTGATATGTATAATTAAATATGTCTTGAGGAATGCTTAACAAAGGCTATTGTACAGAGTAGACGACACTTCTTTCTTT